TTTTATCCCCAGCCCTGACGCCAAGAGGAAAAGCCTCAACTCCCGCACAGCGAAGTCTCCCACTCCCATTCTGCGGAACCCCCAACCCGATGCCAGGGGGAAATCAACGCCGGGACCTCACACCGATCAGTCGCAACAGCGCGTCATCTGCCAGAAGGAGGGTGAGGGAGACACCAGACATTTCCAGAGCCGTCATGAAGGTGCCGACCAGCGCTCGGGCGATGCGAATGCCTCGGTCCTCTGCAGCAAGAGGGCGGGGAAACCGTGAGGAGTGGGATGGGAACCAGAGCTTGGGAGTGCAGGGAGAGTCTGGGGAGAGACTGCAGGCTGGTGGAGGAGAGGAAGGGAAGCTGTCCCTCCTCCCCACAGCGGGAAGGCAAAGGGGAGCAGCATGCAGGGAGTTCAGGGGGTGAGGAGTGAAAGATGAACGTCCTTGAGGGATGATCCAACCCTAGAAATCCAGGGCAGAGACAGCTTGGGGGGCAGTGGTGAGGGGCCCTAGGGCACATACCTGGGGAGCATTATACACACAGCCCAGGCACAGCCTCTACCTGTGAGGAAGAGGGGCGAGTCCCCTGCACACCCTCCGATCGGAGCCCTGCCTCATGCCTGTCCCCACTCTCCAGCTCTGGCTCTCACCAAGGCAGCGCACAGCCGCACCAGCCACCACGCCCAGCTCCAGGAAGGACAGGCCACCCAGGTTGTTCACCACCAGCACCACAGAGGCCCCTAGAAGGCAGAGGAGAGTGGGGGTGAGCCCTGCCCTGCCCTGCCCAGGGGCAGCCAGGTCAGGGACAGGGGGTCACTCACCGGGCTCCAGGGCCACGCGCGAGGCATTGGAAGAGCTGCTCATGTGATCGAGCATTGTCTTGACGATTTCGTCCGCCAGTGCCATCTGCGGGGAGGGGGAAGAGATGGGTGAGAATGGGGCAGCCACAGGCTTGAGGGCAGGTGTGGGGGGAGCCAGCCTACCTTCATCCTGCGCACGCCCGCCTCACCGTGAATCCCTGTGGAAACAGGAATTGGCACTGATAAAAGGCCTCCAGCTGTCCCTCACCCGCCCTGCCAGCACCTGATCCCAAGCCAGAAATAGGGCCTGGGCCACAGGCAGTCAGAGCAGTGACCAATAGCAGCTGCCTGGCCACGCCGATAAACCCCCTCCGGGCACTGCAGTGCAACCCAGCCCATAAACCCCCTCCGGGCACTGCAGTGCAACCCAGCCCATAAACCCCCTCCGGGCACTGCAGTGCAACCCAGCCCATAAACCCCCTCCAGGCGCTGCAGTGCAACCCAGCCCATAAACCCCCTCCAGGCGCTGCAGTGCAACCCAGCCCATAAACCCCCTCCAGGCGCTGCAGTGCAACCCAGCCCATAAACCCCCTCCAGGCGCTGCAGTGCAACCCAGCCCATAAACCCCCTCCGGGCGCTGCAGCTGCCCGGCCTGGCCTGTACCCTAAACAGCGGATTCTTGGGCCTCATTGATAATGAGCATTTCAGTCCCATGGGCACCTCGGCTCTGTAGATGATGGGTACCTGGATCCCCTTTGGAGACCCAGCAGCCAGTTCCCACCCCCAGATAGACAGCCGTGGGCTGATGGGAGACAAGACAAGGGATGTGTGCCAAACTCAGTCAGAGGCAAGGCAACAGGCAGGCAGGCAGGCAGGCAGGCAGGCAGGCAGAGGGAATTCCTCACCCAGGCCCAGCTCCAGCTCATCCTGAGCCAGCTGAAAGGTAGGTCCAGAGCCAGGGACGCTGCAGGGCGAGAGGCTCACGCCCAAGGTACCTGCATGAAGAGGGAACAAAAGGAGCCACGGATAGGAGCATGACCTTTGCCATGGATAGGAGCATGACCAGGACAGGCACACGGATGCCAAGCCAGAGGCAGCTTGTTCTTAGGCAGAATTCTGGTCTCTAGGCTGTAACCAGCACCGTGCCCTCTGGAGGGAGGAAGGGTGAGGTTACTGGCTGGAGCGGTGCAGGAGCAGGTGCCAGGTCTAAAATAAAATCTTGGGACAGGGCACCATCTATGTTGGGACTTGAGAGCAGGATCTCCTGGCTGAGACATCCCCAGGGGGAGTCCACTATTGCTGTGGGGCCACATGTCCCTCCCAGACCTCTCCTTCGCCCACTGACAGCCTCTGGGCACTATGGTGCCCACCCCAGCCATGCCAAGGGTCCCTGCGTGCTCACCCATGGCTTTTGAAACATCTGTCACCTTGCGAACAATCTCCTCCAGACTCGCTCCTGCCTCTGACAGTGCCCCAGCCACCTGCAGGAGAAAGGTTGTGTAAGTGCCAGCTCAGGACGCTGTTCCTCCCTGTTGTCTTCTGGCTGGCATCGGTGCAGGACTGCAGACCGGCTAAAGCCCAACAGGTAGCAAGGCATCCGAGTACTTCAAGTTTCTACCGTAGTACCCAGGGGCCCTCATCCTTCCAGACCCGCCATGCTGGGCACCACATGTCCCCTGTGAGTGAGATGAGGGGATCATAAAATACTAGAATTCTAGAACTGGAAGGATCATCAAGTCCAGCCCTGCCTTCAAGGCAGGACTTGGCATCATCTAGATCATCCCTGATAGGTGTCTGTCTAACCTGCTCTTAAATATCTCCAATGATGGAGACTCCACAACCTCCAAAGGCAATTTATTCCAGTATTTAATCACCCTAACAGGTAGCAAGTTTAGAGAGTAGGATGCCAACAGACACAGCCTGGTAGCTACAGCACTGGGCTGGGACCCAGTTCTATATCTGCCTCTGCCATCGACTGCCGGGAGAATCACTTCAACTCTCTAGGACTCACGTGCCATCCACAAAAAGGGGCCATTTCTTTGGCCTGGCCTATTTCCACCAGACTGTCTCTCGCCTGAGGAACATCTGGTACAACGAGGCCCTGAACTTCAAGTCACCACAGCACTGTCTGTTTAGGGGTGTTTCACAAAGCTAATAATCACAGAGAACCATTCCCTTGCAACTTAAAGCAACATACTCACTCTGCAGACAGCTCTGTGCCTGGATTCAAACCCTCCCCAGAACCTGCTTTGCAACCCAAACATTACAGTTTCTGGCTGGTCCCAAAGCCCCTGCTGGACACTGACTAGATTGGGGTGGGCAAGAGTTAGTCAACGGGCTGGATCTGGCTTCCAGCGAAGCCTCCTTCCTCCCCCTTGCTGGAGCAGAGCTACTTGGAGCAGCCAGCCCAGCAGACAGACATAGAGCCTGTCTCAGGTACCTGCTGGGCTGCTGGCTGGGAGCCACCTAAATAAGCACCTCCCAGCCACAGCCTATCTCCCTGCAACTACCTGTCCCAGGTCACCAGCCCCTCTTGCCCCAGGCCACCCCCCCAACCCTTCTGTATCCCCTCTTCCCACCTCCTCCAGGCCATAACTCCCTCCCAGATCCTGCACCCCCTCCTGCACCCCTCCCCCAGGCCAGAATCCTCTCCTGTACCCATACCCCTTCCTGGACCCTGCACGCCAATCCCTTGCTCCACATCACAGCCCCTTCCTTCACCCAAACTCTGTCACAGACCCCACGCCCCCTCCTATACCCCTGTGCTCTATCCTAAGCTCCCTTCTGCACCCACCTGCCGTCCCAGACCCTGTGTCCCCTCCACAGAAGTGCAGCCCTTGACCACTTACCAAAATCTTGGCGTAGACCCCCCCCCATTAAAATTATTACCCACCCCTGGAGTAGATGCACAAGTGGAAATGACCAGGCTGACTGTCCTGGGACAGCAGAGATGGGGTTGGTTCCAGCCCCACCAGCTCCAGGGGTGCAGAGACACAGGCCTGTCTCTCTGACTGACAACACGGCTGTGTCTTTAACCCCTGAGGCTTCATCCCCAGCTGGCAGAGTCACTGGGGCCCTTGATGTGGACAGCCAAATCCCCTGGACAGGCACCACTGATCAGCCCCCTTCAGACTATCCAGGACATTTGACCCTAGCAGGCAGAGCTGGCCCAGAGGCTGCTGGGAAAGTAACTGAGGGCCGGTGGCTTTGATCTGCAGTGGGCCCTGCTGTGAGTGGCCACTGGGGACCGATCTGCTCGGTGTTTATGAGCACTGTGCCACAGCCTCTGGCACAGTAAGTAGGCTGCCCATCCCACCCACCTTGTGTATGAGCACGGTGCCACACAGCCCTCTTCTCCCCGTCTTCTTCTGTGTGGTGAAAGCGCTGTCGTCGCCTACCACCACCATCTGCACTTTGGCCCCCTCTGCCCGCGCCTGCTCCAGGGCCAGCCCGAAGTTCAGCCGGTCCCCCGTGTAGTTCTTCACAATCAGCAGGGTCCCAGCTAAGGGAGACAGCAGGAAATGAGGGGCCCTAGTTGCTCCCCACCACCCTTGGGTAGGTGAGACCCTTCCACCTGGCACCACGCTGCTGTACCTGAGCCAGCCTGTGTCACCGCCCGGATCGCTGCCAGTATGCTGCCCACTGCAGGAGAGGTGAAGACAGCACCAGCCACCACTCCAGTGAGCATCCCCTTCCCGATGTACCCTAGGAAGGGGGGCAGATAGAAAGTTAGGGGCCCTGATGGGAGAACCTCACTCCCAGCATGCACTGCTCTCACAATGCTCTCCCTCTTTAGCAATGGGATTCTCCACCAGCGCAAACCCTGGTGCGCCTCAGGCAGGACCCTTCCCCAGACTCCCAGCCACCCCTCCAGCCTGCCCCAGCTCCCTGCTCCTGGCACCACAAACCTGCATGTGCGGGCTCATGTCCTGACCCTCCTCCAGACAGCAGTGCCACCCGGCCCCGAACGTTCTCCAGGTCGGATCGCAGTGCCACCCGGTGCCCCTGAAGGAGCTGGATATCCGGATTACAGGCCACCAGCCCAGCCAGTGCATCGTCCGCACAACCTGGCACAGAGTTCACCAGCTTCTTGGAGACCTGGGAGGCAGTGACAGAAGAGAGTGATGCAGCTCCTGACTGCACTGCGGCTGGGAAGGGGTTGAAGTAGGTGGGTGTTACCTGGGTAGCTGAGCTACCGGAGGCAGATGTGCTTTGATGACACAATGGCAGGGATTCAAACACTGCTGTTGGGAGGACTGGGTGGCTCGGGTAGGGAGGGGGGCAGGAATGGAACACTGTTTCCCTTCAAGGGGGTGCTGGTTCCCATCTGACCCCAGGGTGGTGAGACTGGCTGGCTCAGGGGGCTGAGGAATGGGACGTGGTGCCTTTCCCTTGACAGACACTGGAGTTCCCTGTTACAGGGGAAGCAGTCATGGTTCCCTAAAAGTCCCTATTCCAGCACCACCCCCATCTCTTATTGCCCTATGCTGACACGCCCCTCCCCACGCAACACAGAGTCTCCCCAGTGGATCCCAGCTCTGCTAGGGGAGCTGGGAGGTAAGGACTGGCCCCCAGCCAGCCAGTCTGTGCTCTCGTGGCCCCAGTGTGGCATAGCTGTGCAGCTGCCAGTGAGGGAGCAAACTCCGAGGTCCTTGTGAGGCGTTTACTCAAGTAAATCTCCCAGTGACCTAGAGACCTTAGGAACAGGGCCTGGGAACGGAGACCAGTCAAATGCAACCAGGGCAACAGTTGCCCTCGGAGCCTGATAGTAGCAGGGTGCCAGGATACCTCATGCTGCTGGAGGGGCAGATGGACAAGCCAGGCCATGCAGGGCAGAGGATTTACTTCCTCACTGCAGTATAAGTGGGGCCCTACTATAGCCCTCCATTCCACCCCACCCCCAAGCTCCCACTGTGCCCCCCCAAACCTCCTTCAAGGCCAGGACTCACCTGCATGGAGGCAGGATTGAAGTACCCCTGTTAGCAGAGTGGATCCGATCAGGAAGAGGGGGCCTGATTTCTTCCAGCAGAGCTGTCAGCACCTGGGCATGGGGTCAGACAGGGAGATGAAAGTCTGGGGAGGAGCACGTCTGTCTCGTGGCTGGAGAGGAAGGGTGTAGGATTCTGGACAGACAGCAAAGCAGCCCTGTGAGACCGAGAACAGCCTGAATCCTGCCTCTGTGGCCATGGACTTCAACCTGAGTCTAAACTCCACCTGGCACCACGAAGGGGATGTTGCGGAGCAGGAGGGAAGGGTGATCTTAGGGACACCCCCCCCCCTTGCCCTGCTCTGTGCACCAGGGAGGCAGCCGTTCCTTTGCTGCTGGCCAAGCCTCCAGCCAAGCAACATGGGCAGCCGCTCCCCACACCGGGAGGGGCCCCGGGGGGGGCGGGCGGGGAG